TAAATTTCCCAAAAATACTTGTAAAGCCCAATTAAAAGGAAGGCCTGTATCTATGGATAACCAGATCTGTTTAGCGAGGGGAAGAGCGGCCTAGGTTTTCAATCTCGGTATTGCACTATAAATTGGTAACATATTCATCAGGTCTATCGGCACCAATTTATCTTATGTTGCAGTGATTTCTTCTCAACTTCGTCGTCACCAAACTTGGAAGGTAGTATTGGATTGTATTATTGTCAAAACGGGCTTTTCATGTCGAAATCGGCTCGATTAGTTTGTTGTGAATGATTTAATTTGAACTCATCTACTTATGATTTACTTTATTTTTCTAGAATTGTTGTGTTCTTGATGGTGATCTTTCTCTAGCAGCAGTGATTTTTTTAACAACATTTCTCTTGAATTTTTGATGCGGCTGTTTATGGTTTTCCATTGCTGAAAAACTGGCAGCCCCTCAAATGTTATAGGTGAAATACCCTAGACCAAAATCCAGTGGGGGCATTTGCCCCCCCTAGACCCCAGGTGGCTCCGCCCTGTGTGAGGGTTTTGTTTTGCGTAGTTAATGATGTATTCCTAGAGTTAACATTGATAATTCTTCCCATTAGAGATGCATTATGAATATTTTATACGGAGAAAGTGTCTTGAGGTTGAATTCTTGCTTAGAAAATTTGTAGCATTTTTCAGATTATTGAGAATTTAGTAGATCAAAATGTTTAATCTATGATAGAATCGAAAAATTAATGGTAACAGCGTATTATATTTATGCATAATAATTATATGCTTTGCAAATCGGTAACATAAAGATTTTCTGTCAAAAATAGTGTTCAGATGAACTTAATTTATATACAAAAATCTGAATTTTTGAAGTTATCTGTGCTAGCTGAAGCTTTATGACTAAATTGAATGTGGCATCCATCTGTAGAAGGAAGAACACCTTTAATTTCTAAGCGAAATTTTTGAAAGTCAGATACAAGCACTGGCCCAGTGTTGGAAATTATTTGATTTTTGTTTGTGCTCGAATAAACTTTTGAATTGCCTGGTTTTATTATCTGGGTACTGGATAAGGGAAATCAGTTTGCCAGTCATAAAAATTTGATTGCATACCTTTGTTTCCAAATCAGATCTTTCAAGATGTTCACTGCACTGCAAAAGATTCACAAGGATAAGGATGCTGAGCCTACCGATTTCGAGGAGACTGTTGCCCAGGTCCTCACTCAGTCCTTTTTTACTGCAATTATTTAATTGCACTGGTTACTCAATTGCATCATGATTTATTCGTTCTTGAACTTTCTTCAGGCTCTGTTCGACTTGGAGAATTCAAACCAAGATATTAAGAGTGAATTGAAAGATCTCTACATCAATTCTGCCATGTAGGATTGTCAATCTTATGTTGGTACTATTGCTGCCTAGCATGATATTAAATATATTCATTTGATTCTCCAGGCAAATTGATGTCGCTGGAAACAAGAAGGCTGTTGTGATCCACGTTCCTTATCGGTTGAGGAAAGCTTTCCGCAAGATTCATCCTAGGCTGGTGAGGGAGCTTGAGAAGAAGTTCAGTGGAAAGGTAATAATATGATTGTGACTATGGATGATCTTGTATTTACAACAGCTATATTTCTTGTCTTAAGTAAATACGATGTTAGAATTGTCTTTATTTTCCAACATGGTAGTTTTTGCTTTTGCTTGAATTTTGCTCTTCCATCTGTGTGCAGTGGGATTTTTATGTTAGAAATTTGCAGCTTCTGGAGTTTTAGCTATATCTATGGCTAATTTAAATGAGAATCTTATAAAATCTTTGTTGCATTGTCAATATGATGACTTTATCTAGCTATGTTAAAGTAATCTATGACGTTTGATACAATTTATGGGAATGACATAAAAACTAAGCTATTTAACATGGAGAGGAGAATTTTAAAGGTATAGAAGAACACAAACTAAGCTATTTCACATGGTAATAATATGATTGTGACTATGGATGATCTTGTATTTACAACACTCATATTTCTTTCTTAAGTAAATATGATGGTAGCATTGTCTTTCCAACATGGTGGTTTTTGCTTTTGCTTGAATTTTGCACCTCTTCATCAGTTCGTTTATCATTGTGTTTCCAAGGCCAAATATATAATGGCATTGTGGTGGTTTATGATATTTGCCTCTACATATTTGTATTCATCAATGAAGTTGTCTCTCTATAAGAAATTCCACATAAATTAATAATTTGTAACAGTATCTGGAATGACTAACGAGTGTGCAGATAATATTGTTTTTTATTTCTTTGCATTGTATTTTCTTAAATAGGTTTTTATTTTAAGTATATAGAGACACTATCCTCATAGCAAAGTGACCTAAAAATATTTTCTATCTGCTTACCCCAATTACTTGTGAATTGCTTGCAGGAAGTTGTTTTCATTGCTACACGAAGGATTGTGCGGCCACCAAAGAAGGGTTCCGCCGTGCAGAGGCCCCGTACTCGTACACTTACAGCTGTGCATGAGGCCATGCTTGAGGATATTGTTCATCCTGCTGAGATAGTTGGAAAACGTATCCGATACAGGCTTGATGGATCAAAGATAATGAAGGTTTGTTTTTTATTATTATGTTGATAAAATGCACATCCCACTTTTGCAAATTGATTAATCGCGCATATTGCAGGTTTTCTTGGATCCAAAGGCAAAGAATGACACTGAAAATAAGCTGGAGACGTTTGCCGGAGTCTACAGAAAGCTTTCAGGGAAAGATGTAGTGTTTGAATTTCCCATTACAGAGGCCTAAACCATTGCTTCCTGTTTTCTTGTCGACTCCTCAGTTAAATTTTATTGGTAATTTGAAGTTTAACTTGTAGAGATTTTGATTAATGGTCTTTGTTCATTAGGAAGTGAGAATATTAATGACAGGCTATTTTCTTGTTGGATACTTGTTCTTTAAGTATTTCTGCTCATGTTAGTTGAAATTTGGTATGCTGGCCTTCCGAATTTACCCACTGGTGTGAAACTCGTTGAACGTTGATGGTGTGAACCCAGAATGGAATACTCTCTCCAAAGAATCTCTTTTGTACTCAAAAGTTGGATTGATACTTTGTTGGCAAAATGCACACACTTCACATCATTTACTAGAACATTGTTGACTTCTTGTCATCAAGCTGCTACACAGCCTGTCTTGTCAATTGGAACAGTTTACTCGTTGGCTGATAAGTTTTATCTTTCTTCTTCCGGCCAATAAGCAAATGATAACTTGCAAATGGCTTCTTACCATGATTGAAATGGTTAGTGCATCAGACAGAATAAGACACCATGCCATTGCCACACCTTGTTCTGTATACCATGCTTTATTGTATTTTTTAACATAGCGGTAAATGTACATTCAGATGCTAAAACACGCACACACACAAAAGCAACGATACATAGTACTAAAAATAACTCCATTAACTTCTAGTTTGACTTAGTATTCGACTCTTCCAAAAACCTGCTGTTCACTCCTGCTCTATATAAAAGCAAACCTGTTGTAGTTGCTGCAGTGATCTCAGTGTTAGCACATGTAAAAAGTACGGCCCCTTCATCAACCAACTCTTCATTGGATAATGTTCGGATTTTTCCCTCTCCTGCCATGACCAGGAACACGGATGGACAAGGAACTGCAGGAAAAACAGCTGATGTTCCTTCAGGTAGGAAACATCGATCAACCTCAAATTCCTCAAATGGAGGAATATATTTAACTGTATAAGCATTCAAAGCAACTCCTTTGAGGACTTGCGGCAAGCCCTGCAATAGCAATCGAATTAAGTGCAAGCAGATTCAAGAGCATGAAGCCTAAGTCAAATGGCAGTTCCTTGGGGGTATGTTTGATACACAGTTGTGGATTATACAAGACAGTGCAATGGACGGAATTTTTTACTCCCTTTTCTTCTGTCCAATTCTCTACCAAAGAAGGCTCTAAGGTCTAGAAGGATTTCAATATGCTAGTCTAAAATTAATAGTAAAGGGAGGGGAACAATGTTTGATCAAAACAGAGCCTTCAATGAGTTTTCATATCATCACCTGTTTGTATGTGAGCATGGAACAGAGAGTTTGAACATCCCGATTCTTTGGAGTAAGGCCAGCACGTACAACATTGTCCGATGCAGCCATGCACTCAATGCATTCACCATATATATATGCATGAGGTTCATTTGGCCCTAAGTAAAGGGCTTCACCCGACCTAAGTTTGACATAATTAAACAAGAAGGCCGCTATAACACCAACGTCTCCTGGATATTCCTGCTCAAGCCGCATTACCAGCTCTTCCTTGTCTGTCAACTCCCTCACCTATAAATAGGGAGAATTAGCCTCCTTTTGGCTAACTTATAAATTATCAAACTTCATTTTCACACATCCACTCATTTTTATTTATATATAAATTATCACGAAATCTACCCCAACGGATGCTTAACTGTCTACAATTCAGTTTATGCTGCAAAAGATGAAAATTTAGAGATGTAGATATACAAACATACGACCAAATCAAGGTCCCTCAATAACATTGGCATGCAGAAACCATTCCAGCGGCATGCTGAGACAGGACAAAATTTTTTTGAGAACCAGGCCAGGCGAGTGTGAAGTGTGAACACTGTCCACTCAATTGACACGTCTAATGCAACTGAAGTACTAGCAAAATCTCGCTGCTTGCAATTAAGAGTGAAAAGAGAAGCTGGACAGTACAAAGTTTTATCCCTGAAATAATTCTAATGACAACGACATAAAGCATCTCAAGCAGTATTAGATTACAGAGATGAAAAATGAATGTCAGCAAAAAATAGTAGAGAGAATTCCTATATACTTCACGTTTTATGTTGAGTCGAGTTATCAACTTGGAGATTGCTTCAGAAACTACAGCCTTCTTAGCTAACATGAGTTCAGTAAATATGGAACGCAAAACCTCTTTCGATTTCTCTTCCCCGTCCAGTTTGCTGATGTGCAATACTTGATCTGCACATGCATTGCCAACCACTTCTACAATCTCAGGTACATTGTGAACAACAAGCTTAAGCTCCTGAACACACAAAATCAAAACAGTATCCAAGTAAATGTATTGAATTTCTCAAGATTATAGAAGATAGACAAATTCAGAGCAAAAGATTTGGGCTCTTTTTAACTTATCCGAAGTTAAAGATTTGCCTTCTTCATAACCATTTAATTTCTTCTCTTAAAAAGCCCTTAAAAATTTTCTAATACTGTCGCGTGAGTGTAAAACTCTGTACGTGGAATTACATATACATAAACATTGTGCAATTAAACAAAGGATAAAAATATCACAAAAGCTTTTAGTTACAAGTGACATCATTGAATAGCTAATAAAAATTGGCTGATCTCATTCTCACAGAACAAGCATATGGCATACAACAAATTCGCCTAATATTCCAATGATCACCGAAACCACAGTACCTGGGTATGGTGAGAATCAAAATCTCCGAGATCTAGTGATCATGTTTCCACCAATTCATCAAGCATTACACAGATCACACACACAAAAAAAAAAATCATTCGTCGAGATCCTCATACTTCAAAATGGGTTTTCTTAAAATTGCCATAAAAGCAAAAATGCCAATGACATCAAATACAAGATTTTAGAATTAAAAAAACACTTAAAAATGAATATAATACCAGTGATAAGGGATTGACTCAGTGTGCGTTTATTGTCATCTTGATGTTCAGAAGCAATGATGAATCTTAACAACACTCAAATCAGCTTGAAAACGTCTGTATAATTTAATACTTGCAAAACCAAAGACAACAGTGTGTATGTTCAAATCATCAATGAATCTCCAAATGAAAATAACATTGTTCTCATCCATCAAACAGATTAACAGCTGAAAACAATCTAGAAAGGTATCTTCATTCATTCTTCAGTCTTACCGGATACCAGAATGAAACTGAAAGGCATAAATGTTGAAAGCACAATTTTCAAATACCAGCACGTCACAATTGTAGTTTCAAGCCCTAATAAAGACATTCAGTTCCAAACGCAGTAATTAAACCAAACACTATAATATAATCAAGAAAGTGGTGAAAACAAGCACACTACCTCAAGACTGATAAACCCGCATAAAGCCTCGAACTCAGTGAGTGCCAAAGCCATCTCAGGCTTGTGATTGTCATCCTTATATACGTCTGGATGTTGCTTGTGAAGAACTTCAGCCAAAACCTTATCTGGATGAGCCTGTATTGACAATGGCTTTGCCACTGAAAGCACCTTAAAAACACCAATTTGCCAAAAATCCACTCAGTAAGACATATAACATAGAAGATTATGCCCAATTTTTGCAGTAAATAAGTAGATAACATCTAATTTACACGTCCAAATTTCAAAAAATACCAAAAGAAAAAAAAATCCCATTTTCAAAGAGTAAAAAGGAACGTCTAAAATTGATGATAATCAGAAAATGATTTTCCCAAAAGAAGTGACGTGAGAATAAATTCCTCGAAGATTAATCCATAATTCGAGCAGGATTTAATGGTGAGCATACCTTGAAGAGAAAAGGGAGACTGGGGCCCCATTTCTGCAAAACCTTATCACCAATTACACAGGGGTTTTGCTCAATCCAATCCTTCAAATTCACTAAATTACAGCTATTACCACTACCATGACTCCCATTCGGCACTCCATTCTCTCCCTGACCCACCACCATCTGCGCTACCACCGCGTAGGAGGGCCCGGACTCGTGGGTCCCCATCCAGAACTCAGCATATGGCTTACAATCTTCTGCTTCTTCTCCACTGTTCTTCGCGTACAACCGCGCAACACTCGACTCCCTCCCAATTTTACCCCAATCATAATTCTTTACACAACACTTGAGCTTAACATTTCCTGAATTCTCAGCCTCCATGTGAACTGAATTCCAAGTTGTAGAGAGAAAAAGTAGAAAGAAGAGGAAAAATGGAGAATTGGGTTTGAGTCTACTGGAAAAAGAAAGGGAAGTTTACTATTTGAAGGCAGCGATTCGAGAGGGAAATTAAAGAGAGAAGTAACAGCGCGTGAATTCTAGTCGTCGCGGTAATTATCGTCAGTTGTGATAAAATTGCACCATTGATCCTCAATATATGATTTTGATAGCAAGTTGGTCTTTAACCTTTATAAATGAACAAGCTGATCTTCAAATTTTCATTATTTTTGCACAATCAACCGTAAATTCGTGTTAAATTGTCACGTGATCTCCACATGTTCAACTATATAATGTTAATGTTAATTTTCTGCTTTCTTTCTTTGGTCGATGTCTAGAAAGTTGAAATGATACATATGTCTAAGAAAATCACGCGACAATTTAATGTAAATTTATATAGTTCATGTTATTGCTCCTATTATAAAAATTCTACTGAATCTACTAGTTCAACCAAAAAATTTGACATGAAAATCAGACCATAATTCAACTCTGATGTAACTCTTTAACTATTTACCTTAGAGCATATGGTTTGATGGAATTGCAACTGCCCATATCAATTAGGATTTAGATTTGGCAGGTGAGCCCAAAAGAGAGTCGATCTAAGCTAAACCAATTTATTTTATTTATAAATATTATTTTTTATTAAAAATTTCAAAACCAAGCACATTGCATTTCCTTAATCATGACAATAACTAAAAATATAATAATGTTATCTGTATATCATGGTTTACAGATCAATATACAGAATGATGACATGAAAAAGAGAGAGAGAAAAAAAAATAGACAAAAAAAAAAGTCAACTAAAAATCAGTTAATATAATCCAAATCATCATTTTGTAAATCAATCCGTAAACCATGGTGTAAAAAGAACATTAATCCTAAAAATAATGTTATCTATCTAGACCGTTGAATCTATGTGCTAATTAAGTGCCCCAAATTAATTGGACCTCTTAAAGTGAAGATACGTACAATCACTTAGTTGACATCCATTGATAATTAGATAAATGGATAATTCTTGTTGTACACTTTTGTGTACAACAAGTTTGACACTCCCCTCACATGGGGGAGTGGGGCTCGTGATTTTTAAAATCATGGGCTCATTTAAAAATAATGTTAAGCGGTATTTAACACTAGTCCATGTGTAAATTCTTGGGTAGTTGTTTTATTCAATTGGAGTAAAAGTAATGTTATTTATCACCTATTTAGATGACCATAAATCTTCGCTTGAATTGTCCAATAAAATTATGTGTTCATTAAATAACACGTTCAATAACATTTGAGAATATAGGGTCCATTTAATTAAATGTATCATATGTTGCCATGTCCCAATAACATTATCCAGTCAATTAAATGTAAGGATATAAGACTCATTTAACGGGTTATATCTTGTGTTGAGTTGACATCTAATTTTAATGTCACTAGTACTAGATAGTATTTGTCGGTCTTTAAACACACAGAATTATACGCACTTATATAGATTCCCTAAACAAGACATATCAAGAGCTCATGTGACAAGATTCGTGTATTAAGTCCCGGTTTGAGCCACATTATTTTTTTCATTCTCATTCTTCTACTCATTTTTAATCACACATTTTTCAATAAAATAATATTTTTCATCATATCAATAACTTTTCATTCTTTTTCAATCACATATTCCCCATCACATCAAACAAAAAAAAGAATTTTTGAATTCAAAATGTGCACCAAACAGGGGCTAAATTTTGCTTCTTGTAGAAGAGTGTCATAAGGAAACGAACTTAATTAGGGTCCATTTTGACATGACTTTTGCTCTTGCGTATAAGAGATTCACGAAGAAACTGTCTTAAATTTTATTTGGAAACTAAATTCTAAAAATGCTTCCTATTTTGAAAGTGTTTTTAGAGGAAGATGCATTTGACGAACTTTCTCTAAAAAATCTCTAATTTAAAGAAGCATTTCATAAAATTAGTCAAATGACAATTTTTGGGTCTCGAACCTTATTTTAATTTTTCAAATGTCATACTAAACGACCTTTAATATTTGGAACTAATATATAAAATAATATTCTATTTTAGAATAATTTTCAAAGAAAGCCACCATGAGTCAGCTTTCTCTTTTCTAACTAGAAATATTTTTTAAAATTAACCAAACATATTCAAAAATAACTTTTAAATCTCAAATATTCCTTTGTTTTTAAAAGTCATACCGAATAGATCCTAATATTATTGCATTTGTTTTTTTAAATTCTATTCAATTGCATATAATTGTCGAACTATAACTCCTGATCTAAACAAGTACAGCATGATATTGAGAGGGTTATTGGTCTAGGTTTTTACTAAGCATGCCGAGCAATTACAAACTGGACCACTTGATTCAACATCACTAGCTTATCCTCGACCTTTACAGAGATCGATCGAGTAACACTGGTGAAACTTTGAAAACCAAGTCAATTGCTAATAAAGAAAACATGAAATTTGTATCGAGACAAAAAATTGGGGACCGGTTATGCAATTTCCTAAGAAATTGAGGAAAAGTGCTGTATCGGTGGAGTGATGCTGGGCGTTACGTATTGGAGCGGTGCGTCGGTGGGGTATCGTCGCCCATAAATTACTATTGGCAGTCGTTGACAGTTTTTGGGTCCTTAATCCAAAGAGATGGAATTGTGACCCAATTATTTAAATTTTCTTTTCTAACCTTATTATTTTAAAACAATACACATTGTTCTCGTTACAATTTAAGATTCTTAATTGGCATTAATTAACTTATGAACTAATATTCTTATATACCAAAACTTGGCTTATTAATTCACTCAATTCCATATTTTCGTTATTACAGATGATTCATAATTAGAATGTTATTAACGACATTGTTGACGCCAAAAACTTGCATAACTTGCGTGTGGCCAGGATCTCATGTTGGGAGACTTGGCATTAATCAATTATGTCAAAGGGATTGGATCAATTGAACTAATTAAACTCATCTTGGTTTAAGCTCGATCAATTAGCCTCACGATCCATCTAGTGGTGGCTAAAAAGCTTGTCGGCCCGGCCCGGAAAAAGCCCAAGTCGGGCTCGATTTTTTGGGGGGTCGGCCCGTAATTAATTAAAAAAATTTAAAATAATAAAAAAAATTTTAAAGCTAAAATAGTTGAAAAAATAAAAAAACCACAAAAATCGAGTCTGCTTGGCCCGCTAAGGCTCGAGCCAAAGCTCGGGTCGAACCTTATTTTTTTTTGCCGGGCTCGGCTCGGGCCCGAAAAAAGCTCAGTCAAAAAAGCTCGAGCCGAACCCGGGGGCTCGGCTCGTTGACATAACTAGATCCATCTTGTCCCATTCCATCCTCTATAGGCAAACTAACTCCACATATAAAGTAAGCTTTAACTTCCTCTAGCTGCTTTCCCTCTCTTATTTTCCCTATATATATTATTCCGACAATTGATTTGATCGTTGGAGTGCGAACGGTTGTTAGACCTTTTCTTCGATTGTCAACTTTTGCCTCCTAACAGTGTGTTCAGTGTGTAGGTTGAAGAGGAGGTGATCGGAGTGTTGTTGACCACATGATCGACGGATTTTTGAGGCTAACAAACACACTCAGGAGAGATCCCACTATCTACTAGGAATTAGGTATTTTGCTTTGGTATTGTTTCTTTCCGCTAATCAATCTACTATGTCGATCAAAATGAGATTACTAATAATGCAAGAAGAAGAAAAGATCTTGCTACCCTCTACATTTTATGTATACGTGTCATATGGTCTGTTTGGCATGAATATGGTAAAGCTAAACCTTTTGTTTTAAAAGTTGCTTTTGAGTCTATTCGGATGATTTTTGAAAGTGTTTTGTTCGTTTAAAAAGTTTTTCGAAGGAAGCTGACCCTAAATTTTTTAAATCAAAGCTATCGAAAAACATCTATATTCTTTCATTGTAGAGACGACTACTCGTGAAAATATTTTTAGGTGGGTTCGTCTTTAAGTAGAAATTAGAATGGTAAATATTTTGGATGTTCAATCTATCGAGGATGAAAATGACTAAAAGATTGGTTTGAAATTTTCTAGGTAGGGTCAAAGATGATTTAATTGGAGGAGAGAAAGAAATTGGTACAACGTTAACATCAAATGATCCAAGTACTCGGATTGATGTCCAAGACTAATGCATGCGACCTTCGATATGGCTTTCCAATTGGACCAACTATTTTACTTTAATTAGACCTTTTAAATTTTATATTATCGCTAATGAACTGTTATTGGTGATAAGTTAATTTAGTAACAATGAACTTTTAAAATAAATCAAATAATAAAAATAGGACGAAGATCAAAGTGATATGACTAAATTAGATATGGGTTGGTATGTGTCTATGTCAAATATTATCGACGGTCAATATTTATGTTGTTGATTTTAAGACTTGTTAGAAAATATATCATACGTCTAAGATAGAGTTTAAACGATTTAGCAAAGATATTTAAACAATGAAGTTAGTCGAGTAGTTAAGTGTTAATGGTGCAACATTTATTACGTGTCTATTTTCTTTGATAGACGCTCAATAACCATGTCTTCATTTTTTCAATATTGTGGTTTTGTCGCTCCGTAATTGAGGGACTAGTTTATGCCTTAACATTATGATTTACTTTTTCTTTTTCTTGATCAACAAAGACTAAGAACGCTACAAAATTAGAAGTTAAGCATTACAAAGAACGAGAATTTAAGTTGCTACAACTATCACGTAGTAGAGACGAATGACTGATGCGATTGAGCATATTTAAAACATGCTACAGGGACAGGGTGAAAAACAGATTTAAAGACAGGTGTGCCACGTGTCGACGCACGATTGAGCAGTTTGGAAAAAAAAAAACAACACTCAATCAACACTTGCTACATCACCATATTTTTTCTCATTCTATTGCTGGTTTTGTTTTTGGTTATTCTTTTGTGATTTTGGGACTGAAAATACCAACAAAGATTATGGCCAATTTTTGCAGTAAATAAGTAGATAACATCTAATTTACACGTCCAAATTTCAAAAAATACCAAAAGAAAAAAAAATCCCATTTTCAAAGAGTAAAAGGAACGTCTAAAATTGATGATAATCAGAAAATGATTTTCCCAAAAGAAGTGACATGAGAATAAATTCCTCGAAGATTAATCCATAATTCGAGCAGGATTTAATGGTGAGCATACCTTGAAGAGAAAAGGGAGACTGGGGCCCCATTTCTGCAGAACCTTATCGCCAATTACACAGGGGTTTTGCTCAATCCAATCCTTTAAATTCACTAAATTACAGCTATTACCACGACCATGACTCCCAAGCGGCACTCCATTCTCTCCCTGACCCACCACCACCTGCGCCACCACCGCGTAGGAGGGCCCGGACTCGTGGGTCCCCATCCAGAACTCAGCATATGGCTTAGAATCTTCTGTTTCTTCTCCACTGTTCTTCGCGTACAACCGCGCAACACTCGACTCCCTCCCAATTTTGCCCCAATCGTAATTCTTTACACAACACTTGAGCTTAACAATTCCTGAATTCTCAGCCTCCATGAGAACTGAATTCCGACTTGTAGAGAGACAAAGTAAAAAAAGAACAGGAAAAATGGAAAATTGGGTTTGAGTCTACTGGAAAAAGAAAGGGGAGTTTACTATTTGAAGGCAACGATTCGAGAGGGAAAGTAAAGAGAGAAGTAACAGCGCGCGAATTTTATGTCGTCGCGGTAATTATCGTCAGTTGTGATAAAATTACATCATTGATCCTCAATATATGATTTTGATAGCAAGTTGGTCTTTAACCTTTCTAAATGAACAAGTTGATCTTCAAATTTTCATTATTTTTGCACAATCGACCGTAAATTCGTGTTAAATTGTTATGTGATCTCCACATGTTCAACTATATAATGTTAGTTAATTTTCTGCTTTCTTGCTTTCGTCGATGTCTAGAAAGTTGAAATGATACATATATCTAAGAAAATCACATGACAATTTAATGTAAATTTAAATAGTTCATGTTATTGTCCCTCTTATAAAAACTACTAGGTGTAAGCAACGTGCAATGCACGTTTGCGTAGTTTATATTTAATAGTTTTGTTTAAAAATTAATTTGTTATTAATAAATATGTAATTTTTTTGGTTAATTAAATACTTAATGATGTAATGTTTATATAANGTCAATGGAATCAAATTTAGTCAAAAGATGATCACATATTGAGACCTATTTTTGGCATAGAAAGTGATCGAATTGGAGAATGATATCTGAATCAAAGTTGTAACAAGATGAGTTAGTTTTCCAACGCATTTTGAATCGCTTTAATCGGATATCGGAATACAAAGTTATGATAAAAACATTGAAGGAAGGTGCGGCTGTTTGTTTAAAATAAGAAATTTCGTTACATAGTCCGTTAAAACAACAAATTCCGTTAGTTTTTCCGTTAAAAACAAGAAATTCCGTTACATAGACACTTTTAATATATAGAAGATATTGAATCGACCAGTTCGATAAAAAAATTTGTCATAAAATGGTCGATAAAAAAATTTGTCATAAAAATCAGAGATTTAAAATTTGTTAAACAAATTAATCATCGTTTAGTTTTGTTTCGAAACTGGCCAATTTGAGACCTAATTTGAGTTATTAAATCAAGACCATATCAATTTTTAATCGATTTAGCAGAATTGGTTAATATTATTTAAAAATAATGTTAAGCGGTATTTAACACTAGTCCATGTGTAAATTCAGGGGTACTTGTGTTTATTCAATTGGAGTAAAAGTAATGTTATTTATCGTCGGTGACAATAAATGTTCTCTTGAATTGTCCAATAAAATTATGTGTTAATTAAATGTATCATATGTTGCCATGTCCCAATAACATTATCCAGTCAATTAAATGTAAGGATATAAGATTCATTTAATTGGTTATATCATGTGTTAACATCTAAATTTAACGTCACTAGTGTTAGATAGCATTTGTCCGTCTTTAAACACACAGAATTATACGCTTTTATACAGTTTCCCTAAACAAGACATATCAAGAGCTCGGGTGACAGGATTCATGTATTAAATTTTGCTTCTTGTAGAAAAGTTTTATAAGGAAGTGAACTTAATTAGGGTCCATTTTGACATAACTTTTACTTTTGCATAGAAGAGTTTATTAAGAAAATTGCCTTCAATTTTATTTGAAAACTAAATTCTATTTTGGAAGTGCTTTTAGTGAAAGATGAATTGTATGAACTTCTCTAAAAATTCATCTAACTAAAAAATTCATTTCATAAATTTAGACAAACGAAAGTTTTTGGGTCTCAAACTATATTTTAACTTTTCAAATGTCATATCAAACGAACCTTTAATATTTGGAACTATTATACAGAATAATATTCTATTTTAGAATAGTTTTTTAAAAAAGCCGCAATGAGTCAGCTCTCTTTTCTAACTAAAAATATTTTTATAAATTAACCAAATATATTCAAAAATAACTTTTGAAGCTCGAATATTTCTTTAGACTTTTTAAAAGTCATACAAAATGGGTCCTAATATTATTGCATTTTTAAAATTTTTTTAATTCAATTTTAATTAACTGTCGGGCTTGAACTCTCGACCTGGACGTGTCCGGCATGATCTCGAGAGGGTTATTGGTCTATGTTTTCACTAAGCATGCCAAGCAATTACGAGCTGGACCACTCGATTCAACATCACTAGCTTATCCTCGACCTTTACAGAGATCAATCGAGTAACACTAGTGAAACTTTGAAAACCAAGTCAATTGCTATAAAGAAAACATGAACTTTGTATCGAGACAAAAAATTGGGGACTGGTTATGCAATTTCCTAAGAAATTGAGGAAAAGTGCTGTATCGGTGGAGTGATACTGGGCGTTACGTATTGGAGCGGTGCGTCGGTGGGGTATCGTCGCTCATAAATTAATATTGGCAGTCGTTGACAGTTTTTGGGTCCTTAATCCAAAGAGATGGAATTGTGACCCAATTATTTAAATTTTCTTTTCTAGCCTTATTATTTTAAAACAATACACATTGTTCTCGTTACTATTTAAGATTTTTAATTGGCATTAATTAACTTATGAACTAATATTCTTATATACCAAAACTTGGCTTAAATCTCAATTAATTAATGCACTCAAATTCATTATTTCCATCATTACAGATGATACATAATTAGAATATTATTAATGACACTGTTGACGCCAAAAACTTGCATAACTTGCACGTGGCCAAGGATCCCACGTTGGGAGACTTGGCATTAATCAATTACGTCAAAGGGATTGGATCAATTGAACTAATTAAACTCATCTGGGTTTAAGCTCGATCCATTAGCCTCACGATCCATCTTGTCCCATTCCATCCTCTATAAATAGGCGAAGTAACTCTACATTTAAAGTAGGTTTTTACTTCCTCTGGCTGCTTTCCCCCTCTTATCTTCCCTTGCACTTTATACATATTATTCTGACGGTTGACTTGATCGTTAGAGTGCGAACGGCTGTTGGACATTTTTCTTCGATTGTCGACTTTTGCCTCCTAACAACGTGTTCAATGTGTAGGTTGAAGAGGAGGTTATCAGAGTGTTGTTGAATGTTGACCACATGATCGACCGATTTTTGAGGCTAACAGACAGTCGGACACACTCATGAGATATCCCACTATCTATCGGGAATTGGATATATTGCTTTCGTATTGTTTCTTTATGCTAAACAGTCTACCATGTCGATCAAAATGAGATTACTAATAACGCAAGAAGAAGAAAAGATCTTGCCACCCACTACATTTTATGTATACTTGTCATATGGTCTGTTTGGCATGAATATGGTAAAGCTAAACCTTTTTTTTTAAGTTGCTTTTGAGTCTATTCGGAAGATTTTTGAAAGTGTTTTGTTCGTTTAAAAAGTTTTTCAAAGGAAGCTGACCCTAATTTTTTAAATTAAAGCTATCCGAAAACATCTATATTCTTTCATTGTAGAGGCGACTACTCGTGAAATTATTTTTTTGGTGGGTTTGTCTTTAGAAGAAATTAGAATGGTAAATATTTTGAGTGTTCAACCTATCAAGGATGAAAATGACTGAAAAATTGGTTTGAAAATTTCTAGGTAGGGTCAAAGGTCATTTAATTGGAGGGGAGAAAGATATTGGTACAACGTTAACATCAAATGATCAAAGTACTCGGATTAATGTCAAAGACTAATGCATGCGACCTTCGATATGGCTTTCCAATTGGACCAACTATTTTACTTTAATTAGAACTTTTAAATTTTATATTATCGCTAATGAACTGTTATTGGTGATAAGTTAATTTAGCAACAATGAACTTTTAAAATAAATCAAATAATAAAAATAAGATGAAGATGAAAGTGATATGACTAAATTAGATATGGGTTGGTATGTGTCAATGTTAAATATTGTCGACGGTCAATATTTATGTTGTTGATTTTAAGACTGATTAGAAAATATATCATACGTCTAAGGTAGAGCTAAAATTATTTAGCAAAGATATTTAAACGATGAAGTTAGTCGAGTAGTTAAGTGTTAATGGTGCAGCATTTATTACGTGTCTATTTTCTTTGATAGACGCTCAATAATTATGTCTTCAATTTTTAAATATTGTAGTTTTATCTCCCCATAATTGAGCGACTAGATTATGCCTTTACAGTATGATTTACTTTTTCTTTTTCTTGATAAAAAAAGACTAAGAATGCTGCAAAATTAGAAGTTAAGGATTACAAAGAACGAGAATTTAAGTTGCTACAACTATCACTTATTAGAGACGAATGACTAATGCGATTGAGCAGATTTAAAACATGCTATCGGGACAGGGTGAAAAACAGATTTAAAAACAGGTGCGCCACGTGTTGGCGCACGATTGAGCAGTTTGAAAAATAAAAAAACAACACTCAATCAACACTTGCTACATTACCATATTTTTTCTCATTCTATTGCAAAATTTTGGATTTCAAATTTAGTGTGAGGGCAGCGGACCCCACTACCCCCACTGTAGATCCGCCCATGATCTGCATTATTAGTATTCAGAATCAGACTTTTGCTTTTAGCCCATATTTGTATATCATTTTTCAAAAAAAAAAAAAAAAATTTCTTCAAATCCTTCAATCTTTTCACAGACATCACATTCTCACCATCGATAACTATGTGATCAGATAACAATTCGATCCTATTTGTCAGAATAATCGAATTGATAAATTATTTTAACGTCATGTTATTTGTCACTAAAATAAATAAATGAGAAAAAAATAAACTACAGTTGGTACTATAATTTGTATGTATTATTAAATAATTTTTAGATTGATTAAAAATTAAAAATAATATTAAAATAAAAAAATACATTTTTATTAAAAATTAAAAATAATATTAAAAA